GAACAGGTACTAGCGAACGCTAAAATAGAAACTTCATATGTCTGTAGTACCTTCAAAAGTTATGTATGCGAAGTCGCGCTGGCAAAAATTCAGAAAGACGAAATTCAAAAACTATGACCTTATAAGCAAAAATGTTTTGATTTTGCGCTATGCGAAGATAACCAAAAAAAGAAAAGACCTGAAAACTCGTTTGCAAACAACCTTATCATTTCGCTAAAAAATCTTTTATCCATCATAAACGGAAGGAAATAACTGAAGAAATCGTGTCTTATGTAACTTCTGCAAAGAAGTGTACTGAATTAACTTTACAGGGAACTCAACCTTGTTACTAAGATTAAAATGCAAATTAGCAAAGTTCTTTAATCTACTCAACCCAATAATTTCATGCCATAGCAAGTACCGGATTCATTATGGAAACAGGAACCTCCGTACTTCGGTAACTGCGAAGAGTGAACAGGAATGCAACCGAGTACGTCCTATGATGGTCGCTTTTGCGAATTTACAAAGTGGATTTTTATAGTTCCTGCTAAACACTTTAAAGTGCAAAATGGATAGCCACCTGCGCACCTACCCAACGTGTTCACCCTTAGATCCCGAAAACATAGGTAGGGACGGTCCGTATAATGCAAAAATCACTGGCCTATCCAAATGTTTGCTCACTTGAAAAACAGCAGGTGGATAAAACGTGCAACGATGAGAAAATAATATCGGACTGATCATCACCAAACAGTCTGAAAGTACCTGAATGTGTCATTACTGCGAGCTCCACCGACGATCTACAGTTACCTTAGTCAAAAAAACTAATTATAAGAGTGAATGCAATGTCGGAATTTGCAAGTAATTTCCTGGAAGGATTAACAGCGTAGGGAATTAAAACGTTTATTTTTATACAGTCAAAATTGCATAAATAAAATATAAAGAACAACTCGGAATATAGAGTGAAAAATTGAACAACAGATCATGTCGATACAGCTGCTAAACCTCGTCAAATTTGATAGCACAGAATAACAAAGTGTCGCCCTTCGGAGCCTAATATTTTAGCCGTTGAGGAGAATAATAAAGTTGAGTGCCTCAAGCAGTTGCTTAAAAATACCCGAAAAGCCAATATTGTTAATGTTAATGCACTTTGCATTAGGTAATCTCGATTATTAAAGAAAAATTAAAGACATTACAAAATAGACCTGCAACACAAAATAAAGCCGCAAAAAACCAATGCTGAAAGACAAGTGGGAAACATAATGTACAGATCAGCAGTATATTACAAGAAAATGAATTAGCGGTATCAAGTTTATACAAACTAGAGAAAGAAGACAAACTATCCTTGCTTTTCAAACGCTAACTTACCCATCGTTCGCAGCAAACACTCATTGTGATATCAATTTCAAGAACTGGAATTAATGTAGTGAAGGAAGTTTGCATATCAGATCTGATTAGATTCACACGAAATAATTTTGAAAAACAGTTCTAAAGAGGAGTGCCTAAAAAACTAATGCCTTGTCTCAATTTTATCACTTACAACGACTTAAAAATGAAGCAGAATAAGTAGTTTAATTATGCACAATTGAAAGGAAAGTTAGCTGTGAAAGTTAAACAAGAAATAAAACAGCTACTGCAGTGTAATACTTTTTAGAACAACACACATTTTCAGTTAATACGACGGCTTCAGGTTGTTTATATCAAGCGAAAACAGTAGATTTAATATATATATATATATATATATATATATATATATA